TTCATTCCCATGTTCATTATATTATTTATAATTCCCAAGACATGGAGGCAACTTAAGTGTCCATTGATGGATGAGTGAATCAAGAAAATGTAGTGTATATATATATATATATATATATATATATATATATATATATATATATATATATATATATATATATATATATATATATATACATATATATATGTATATACACACAATAGATTATTATTCAGCTATAAGAAGAAGGAAATCCTGCCATTTGTGATAACATGGATAGACCTTGAGGACATTCTGCTAAGTAAAAAGAGAGTAAGGAAAATACCAAATGATCTCACTTACAGGTGGACTCTTGAAAACAATCTCAGAGATAGAGAAAACGTTTTGGAAGTGCAGTGGGTAGGGAATAGTTGGAGAGAGTCAAAAGGTACAAACTTTGAGTTATAAAGTAAGTCCTAGAGATGTAATATACAGCATGGTGGCTATCGTTAATAACATTTTATGGTATATTTGAAAGTTAACGTAAATTTTAAAAGTTCTCATCACAAGAAACACTTTTATAATTGCCTATGGTGCAGAGGTTAACTAGAATTATTTGGATCATTTTGCAATATATCCAAATATTAAATCATTGTTATATACCTGAAACCAATATAATATTGTATATCAATTATAACTTGACCAAAAAAGAAGTAACTGGCCAAACAAATTTCTAAATTGCCATTTAAAAAATTAATTCAAATTATTTTCTGTATAGCTCTAATGTGTAAGCAGTCACTTACTCAGAAAACATTTACTTTATTCCCACTATGTGCTTGACATTGTCCAAGGTTATAAAGGTGGAAAAGTCAGGGTCTTGAAGTGTCTCCAACCTCAAGTAACTCTTAGTCTTGTGGAAGATGGATATATAAGCTAACTTGTATAAGACTTCACGATCAGTGCTCTGACAGAGCTACATACAGACTATAATGAAACCATGATTGCCTGGCACTAAATTCATGAGATTCTTCCCTTTTCTAGGGTATAATAAAGAAATGAAAGGTTTTTCCTTATTTTCCTTGGCTGCATATATCAGAAATGGCCCTTCTGGCCTCAGCTGCATCTCCTATCAAGCACTGTGATATTGCTGTCTTAGCCATTCTATATGCTCTGACCACAGAGTAAGCAAACAGATGAAGCTTCCTTTTTTGGGGGGGGTGGGGGGTGGGGTTCAAGGTCCAGAGCTGGCAGTTTTATTAGGGTGGTAAAAATGTTAGAAAATGGAAGAGCAATGTATTTTTAATAGGTCTTCGCTAAGGAGAGCCACAGGTTATGTCGAAAGGAAAAAAATGGAATATATAATTAAGGCAAAAATACACCTATGGCCCCATAGCAAAATTGAGAGGAAGGTATAGAGATTTCCATACACCCACTGCCCCTAGGCATGTATAGCCTCCCTCATTATCAACATTACTTACCAGAGTGGTACATTTGTTATAATTGATAAACCTACATTGATGAATTATAGATACCCAAAGTCCATGGTTTATATTAGAAATCATGGTGTTGTACTTTTTATGGGTTTGTACAAATATATCATGACACGTATCATATAGAGTATTTTCAGTGCTCTAGAAAGCTTCCATGCTCTGCCTATTCATCCCTCCTCACACCCCAACCCCCGGTAACCACTGATCGTTTTACTGTTCATAGTTCTGCCTTTTACATAATGTCTTATAGTTCAAATCATGTGATATGTAGCCTTTTTAGGTTGGCTTCTTTCACTTGGTAACATGTATTTTCATGACTTTTTAGCTCATATCTTTTTAGTATCAAGTAATATTCCATTACCTGGATGTACTACAGTTTATGCATCCGTTCACCTACTGAAGCACATCTTGACTGCTTTTTTAAAAATTTTTTTAACATTTATTCATTTTTTTGATAGAGACAGAGCACAAGTGGGGGAGGGGCAATGAGAGAGGAAGACACAGAATACGAAGCAGGCTCCAGGCTCTGAGCTGTCAGCACGGAGCCCGACGCAGGGCTCGAACTCACAGACTGCGAGATCATGACCTGAGCCGAAGTCGGATGCTTAACCGACTAAGCCACCCAGGCGCCCCTTGACTGCTTTTAAATTTTAAAAATTATGAATAAAGCTGCTCTAAATATCCCTATGCAGTTTTTTGTGTAGACATAGTTTTTAACTCCTTGGGTAAATGCCAAGGAATATGACTGCTGGACCATATGAGAAGAGTATGTTAATTTTGAAAGAAAAAGCCAAACTGTCTTAAAGTGGTTGTACCATTTTGCATTCCCACTGGCAATGAATGATTTCCTGTTGTTCGTCATCCTCATCAACATTTGATGTTGACAGTGTTCCAGATTTTGGCCCTATAAAGGCATCTCCTTGTTTTAATTTGCATTTCCCTGATGACATATGTTGTGGAACCTCTCTTGATAGGCCTCTTTGCCCTCTGATTATCTCCTGTGGTGAGGTATCTCTTAAGGTTTTTGGCCATATTTTAATCAGGTCGTTTTCTTTCTTATCATTTAGTTTTTAGTGTTCCTTGTATATTTTGATTAACGGTCCTTTATCAGATGTGCCTTTTGCAAATATTTTCTACCAATCTGTGGCTTGTCTTCATTCCTCCATTTTTAAAGACCAAATAGTTTTGTAGAAAATTGGGTCCTGCAAAAAGTCTTAAGTGCTATTTCTGTAGAGAGCATTTCTTTGTTGCTGTAGGGAAGAAGTAGAAGGTCATGTGCTATTGAGATTCCTGTCTCCATGTAGCTTAAAAGAAAATGCAAATGAACATGAGAAGTAGAGAGCAATGATAGTCTTTAATTTTATGTCAAATGCCATAGCATATTAAGAGTTCACAGTTTAGAGAAACATTGAAGTAGACTGAGGTAGAAGAGGGAATCTGTGGAAATTGAATTTACTCAGAGTGGCCTTGAAATCTAGTTCTGTCTTCAACAGTGGCAGAGGCAGAAAATGACATTCCAGCTGAGAAACTGGATTCAGAGTTATAAAAATTTCAGTTTATATTGTAGAGGGAAAAATTGATTATGCTTTAGATTTAGATTCTGAATATTCTCAGATCTGTAAGACTGGATTTTTTTTTAGCTAGAGGGACTAGAGGTGTAAATCCTACATCATTCCAAATGGTTCTATTTACAGCAGATGGCTAGGTTGCGTGTTTCACATGGCAATAGAAAGAATATATTAGCCCAGCTTATTTGCGTTCATATGAGTGTATTATAACACTTAAAATGTTGTATTTTGGCATTTAAAAAAAATATATATGCTATATTTTTCAAACCTATGGAATATTTGCTTTATGTTTTATTTTGTAAATCTACCTTGTTAACAATTTGAAATATTATAATATTACAATGATATAGTGTCAAATATACTGGTTTTTAAATTTTAACTTTATTTTTTAAATGTTTTATTTATTTTTGAGAGAGAGAGAGAGAGAGACAGACAGACAGACAGACAGAGAGTGAGCAGGGGAGGGGCAGAGAGAGAGAGAGGGAGACACAGAATCCGAAGCAGACTCCAGGCTCCAAGCTGTCAGCACAGAGCCTGACATGGGGCTTGAAACCATGAACTGTGAGATCATGACCTGAGCCAAAGTCAGACGGTTAACCAACTGAGCCTCCCAGGCACCCCCATTTTAGCTTTATTTTTAGTATCAGTGACCTATTTTAGTTTTATTATTCTTCCTCTGCTTATGTAGTAATAATAGTGTGATCCTTAAAACATACTACACATACGTTATCATTGCACACAGACATTTTTGAACACTGCTGATTTAAAATTTTCCATTGTAAAGTTCTTTCTAAAGCATTTTACTTTGTTAATTGGAAAATGCTGCCGCTGTTGACAGAGATATTATCCATTTAGCTGAGGCCACCTTTGTACCTAAGTTACCGTATGTGAAATTTGGGTTGTTAATCTGGACTTATAATAATTTCTGTACCACTCCAGACTAAATTGCAAAGGACTAAAACTCAGATTTAGGCAAAGAAAAAAACTAAGGGGGTGGTGTAGAAGATGTCCAGTATCACACAGCTGAATTCAACTGTGGGTGAATTTCCGGCACAGTTGAATCTAGAATCTCAGATGATGTTATTAGGACTTTTGTTCTGCTTAGTCCTGTGGGATTCAACTTGATTTCAGTTACATAGGGGTAAAGTTGGGGCACCTCTAGGGTAGAGAAGGCTGATGCCCTATAATTGGCACTTTTGCCTGGAGAAGCAGAAGCTATTTCTGAAAGGAAAAGGTACTTCCCTGACAAAGAAGTAGAAGTTTCCACAGTGGGACCCATGGTTGCTCTTGAACACAATTATCAAAGTTTGTGAAAACTGTTGGTTGGCATTCATCTACTAAGCTTTAGAAATCATTCAACTTAAAAGATGATTCAGAGGAAACCTGGTTCCTTTTCTCTAGACCAAAGTTAGATACCATCCTAAGACTCACAGACCTTTTAAAAACTGATTTTCAAGCCTGTGGTTTATAAATAGCAGCCTGGTATCAATATTTTGTATAGTCCTTCTTGGGCAAAGTAATTAAATATATCCACCCCTCAGTTTCCTAATCTGTTTAAAAAATACTAAAGCAGTTAGATTGACTAAGCTCTGAGGTCATTTGTTTCTAAGAATATATGATTCAATGATTCTCTTGCAAAAGTGATTATAGTTTGGCTTTCCTGTCTTTTTTCTTTTTTCTCTCTTTTCTAGACTATGTACATTGAGTGGAAACTATCTTTGCTCTTGAAAAGCCAAATTCGGTAAAAACTTCCTGCAGTGATAGAAATGATCCATGTAGCTATTGAAATGTGGCTGGTGTAACTTGGGAAATGAATTTTTAATCTAGTCTTAATTACTTTTGATTCAAATGAAAACAGCCCCAAGTCTGGCATTAACTTTTTCAACAAGATTTTTACGTAATAGTTGAAATTTTAAAATAAAATTTATAAGCTATGTGATGAATTTCAAAGCAGCAATCCCCCCTCCCCCCATTTTCTTTTCAGTCTCCCGCACACAGCTACTCAAGCTACGACTCTGGCAAAAATGAGAGTGTAGACCGAGGTGCCGAGGACCTGTCTCTAAACAGGGGCGATGAGGATGAAGACGACCACGATGACCACGACGATTCTGAGAAAGTTAACGAGACTGATGGCGTTGAGGCAGAGCGGCTGAAAGCTTTCAATGTGAGTCCCACCACCGCCCCCCTTCCCCGCCCACGTGGGTTACTTTTTACCACTTCACTTTCATGTTGTTGCTTGTTGGTAAACGTGGATGTTCTAGAGACGTGTTTGTTTAATTTACAGAAGGATTTAAAAAGTACATGAAACTCTCTTTGCCAACCAGACACCAGAATTGCTGGGTTTTGTTTAGAATTTTACAGCCAAATGTGAGCTGAAAACTGGATTTGTGTTGTGTGAGTATGCATGTTTACCTAGAGGATGAGGGGGTCTCCGCTTATTCCTCGCAAGAGTATGCCTGTCATCAGTTATTTCTTTTGCCTTCCTGGCTTATCTAATTATGCATGACAAAAGAGTCCCCCTTGTTATCAGAGATTAGTACACTGTGCAGGGTAGCAATGTAGCAGCCATACTGATCATTAATGGAGAATTTTATGGGGTGCTTAATTGTCACAGTCTGCTGTTATTTCCTGAATTTTTTTTTCCTACATGATAGTCTATACTTTTCTGTCTGTCTGTCTGTCTGTCTGTCTGCCTCTCTCTCTCTTTCTCTCTAGTTTTTTTTTATCCAACCATTTAAAAAGCCTTTAAGAGGTGTTTGCTTAAAATCTCTGGCTTTCCATTGCAAAGTTCTCCAGTGCATAAAGCAGAAAAGAGTATTTTCCTATCGGTAATCAAGACAGGAAGCTAGGAACAGCAGAGAGCAGTCCTCCAAACCCTTCTCCTCTGTCTCCCTCTTGCCAACAGATGTTTGTCAGGCTGTTTGTAGATGAAAACTTGGACCGAATGGTCCCAATCTCTAAGCAGCCCAAAGAAAAGATCCAGGCTATCATTGACTCATGCAGGCGACAGTTCCCTGAGTATCAAGAGCGTGCCAGAAAACGTATACGTACTTACCTCAAGTCCTGCAGGCGGATGAAAAGAAGTGGTTTTGAGATGGTGAGTTTTGAATTAAAACACAGCCCTAGATTCCATCAAAATCCCACATGTAAACCATGACACTATTTTTTTTTCATCTTAGTGTCTTTTTTATTTTTTCCATAATGTCAGGTCAAAGGGGTTTTTGTTTGCTTGTTTGTTTTTACCCCCTTCTCCTTTTCATCTTCCTGAAGTATTTATCCCCTTTGTTATTCAATAAGGCATAGCTGGTGAGACCAGCTTACAGGCCCACATGGTACCATGTCACAGCAAATGAGGGCAATCTGCGTAAAAACCGGTGAGAACCAGCATCTCATTCGTGTCGTTTTCTATCACTACCAAAGTGGGTATAAGGTTAATCAAGGCTTGAAGCACCAGTTGCTGCTTTAGGTGGCACGTGAGAATGGCTTTGTCTGGAGCCAAAGGAAATGGATGACTCCACCTAAATAATACTGTTTTCATACCAATGGCTAACAAGTTGCAAGCCTTGAAAGTTAAAGATCAGTAAGATAAGGCTTTGTTGTACTCAGTGTATTTGCGTGCTTGTGGATGGTAACATGAGCTTTTATATTCATCTGGGCTTTCTAGATGGACGAGATTACGCTGACATTAGATCCTTATGGGTGGAAATCAGGTATCAGTGTTTTTTGAACTTTATTTCACCTTTCTCTAATTGTTACGCCCAGAAATAGCGTATTCATTTACAATGTATTTTTTTTTACTTTTGTTTTTTGTGTATGTGAGCAGAGATGTATTAAAAATTTTCTGAATCGATTTATTTCCCTTTCGTGGGTCCACCAAAGCCAAGGCTGATAGTGATGGCGATCGGTGCCTGTAATGTGTTAGGTGCGGAAGGGTGATGTTAGTGAAGCTACGAGAGGTTTCAGAGTATGTCATATAGGAGAAATAGGTTTTTCGATCTGAATGAAATGACCAAAGCAGTAAGTCCACTATCGACTATTAATTCTTCTTCACTGGCTTGTAAAAATACCTTCGACATTCTTTAAAACCGAATGGCTGTTATTGAGAGGCATGTGCCTAGATGGAGCACAAGGTTCAGTCCTCAGAGAGCCTGGTTTGGCATTCTGGATCCATCACTTTGTAGCTGTGTGTGACCCGGCAAGTCAGCTGCCTGTACTTAGGTACCTCCTCTGGAGATGATCACTCCTGATTTATAAGGTCATGAGGATTACATAAATTGTCACTTGGAAAAGCTCTGCGACCCATTACTGACAGTCACCACTCAGTAAATCTTAACTCTGAAAATATTTTCAAACATTATTTAATCTATCATTTGATAAAAGCTTCCCAAAATGTTTGTGTTAAACAATCACAAAATACTCCAGTTAAGTATTTGCTTACTTCTTGGAAGTAACAACCATATTGAAGTCCGAGATTGTGGTGCATGTGTCATTTTAAGGGGCACATGGGTGGCTCAGTCTGTTAAGCGTCTGACTTCAGCTCAGGTCATCATCTTGCGGCCGGTGGGTTTGAGTCCTGTGTCGGACTCTGTGCTGACAGCTCGGAGCCTGGAGCCTGGTTAGGATTCTATGTCTCCCTCTCTCTCTGCCCCTCCCCCCTCCCCTCAGAAATAAACATTAAAAATTTTTTTAGATAAAAATGGCATTGTTATGCCTGATCAAACTAAATTTGACAGAAAGGCAGCATGGTATAAGAGAGAAGGAGAGTTTGCTTGAAGAAAATAAAGTTATTTCTCCCATTATTGAATTATTTAAAAATTATTATTACCTACTCAACAGGAGAGAGATGACAGACAGAAAGGGTATCTAAACATGTATAGAAGCCTAGAAGAGTCCTGGTGTTGACATTTGGTTCAGGACCACTTAACAGCTGATGTGAAATTGCAGTTGAACATAAATGTGTCTCACAGAGTATGATATACAATATATACTCCTCTTTTTTCAGTAACAAAGATGATATCATATACCAAGATTTTTATTTACCAGCATCTGGCATTACTATTTTTTCCTAATCTTGTCATATTTTTTAGAGATTTTATGATAAAATTTATCTTCTTTTACATTAATTATTCTTTAAGGGAAAGAAGTCATTGTTCTGTAAAACTCTTGATTTCTCTAAGACAAACCATACACTTTCAAGTTTTTCTATTGATTTTACTTACATGTTTACTTTAATATGCACATCTATTTGTTGTAAATTCTGTGCTATGCACAGAGAAAACAAAAGTTGACTAATTCAAAGTCAAGTAGTTTTACTAACTAATCCTAAAGAAATATGCTGTAAGAATTCATTCATTTATTCAGCAACGCAATAACATTATATAAAGTAATAAGCAAAAATATTAGAGATTTCTGCCCACTTAATTAGAAAAATATAACATGTTCCCTGATCATTATGATTCATTGAGGTGACAAGGTTTGGGAAGTAAAACAGTCAAGTAACAAGGTTGAATAAAATTAAATGTTAAGTGAACAACATGAATGAAAATTTATATTGTAGGTTCTATTTTTTTTTTTTTTTT